AAATTACATATTACATATAGTATCTTTGTTTGGGTTCTATTTTAAAGTTATTGATAAGAAAATAATGGCAAATTTGTGTAATAGTAAGGCACATTGTGTAATTTGAACAGTGGGTTTCTAGTTGCAGTGCTTATGCTAAGTAATTAGATGGCTTTAGCATGTCTGGATTCAATTTCTACCTGTAAAATTAAGACATTTAAACAAAAGTTTATTCTTGTCTGAAAGTTTCATTATTAATTTGAAAGGTTAAAAGATTATAGTGTTCTTTGTTCTGTCAAAAGCCTGAAATACAGCATCACACATGCAAGAGACAAGACAAAGGCTATATACATCCAAAATGAGTGTACCATATGCTGCAATGTGGTTTTGAGAACTTTTAAAGACCTGTAGGAAAGCCACAAACATGAATAATAATAGAAATATCAATTGAAGCCCATGGTAGATAAATAAATGTAAAAGAATAAAGGACTGATGATGACTAAGAAAACTAGAAGAAATAGACTAAAATTATCTGTAAATTAAAGTCTGTCCATGTAGCAAATATTCGCAGCACTATGGACCAGGCACTGACCTTATCAAAGATCCAAGGGTGAAACAAATTGGCTGAGGTTGAATTAAGCTCCTTGTGGTTTAGGAAGGAACAGTTCCTGATGGAATTGTTTGAACTGAGGTAGGTAGAATGCACACAGGAGAATCCCGTTATTCCTGAACATTGATGATGCACGATTCCAGAAAGTTTTGGCAAAAAATCTTGCCTATTGGTCATTTTTTCCTAATCACTATTGATAGTGAGTTCCCAAAGTAAATCTGTAATATCTTTTATATATGTTTGTTTTTTCAACAAAAGATGAGAGATACTACATTTTCTCCTCACTTAAATACTAGAGGTTATAGGATATTGGCAGGCTTGAAGAAATTGTAGGGTTCTAGCCTTGCATGACATATGCTCCCTTAAAATGCCATTCCATCTTGAAAGGTGCCAGTTTCCAGGATAACTTTTTTCCACATAGAATCTGTAAAATATGTAATGCAGCTAAGAGAGCACAAATAATAAAAATCCAGAGACAGATATCAGACTTCAAATTGAAATCAGAAAAGCAAAGCAGCCAGTCAGTAGCTCTTACCTCTATCAAGGCTGAAATGGAGATCCTTTTTCCCTGTGACTGGAAACTGAATCTTTTATAAGACCATTTGCTTCTTCCTTATATACCTCACTAGTGCTGGGATTAAAGGCATGAGCTGTGTTTCTCTCTTTTAGACTGATTTACTCTCATTATAGCCCAGTGTGGTTTTGGACTCACAGAGATCCATCTGCCTCTATCTCCTGAGTCCTGGGATTAAAGGTATTTGCTTACACTGCCTGGTGTCTATGGCTAACTATTGTGGTTAGCTTTGTATTAATCCCCCAGGCAAGCTTTATTAAATGAAAAACAGTATATCACCACACTTACTATATTGGCCTGTGTAGCATCTGTCTAGTAAGACAGACACTACATTTGAACCAGAACATCAGGTAGCTCATATACAAGTGAGGTTTGAAGTTGACAGAAGAGCAGTTAATTGTATATTACATTTCCTTTTGATATAGATAAACTCAGGTATCATAGGTTTGTATGTTCTGAAAATGTCAATAAATTACAGAAGTAAAATCATCTCAAAACCAAACTAATAAAGGTACAGAGACTAGTGTATAGATAGCATTAATATATAGTGTTGGGTGGATGAATTGAAAGTTTCAGAAGATGTATAACATGACAGGAGAAGGAAAAGACAGTGACCAATGGTTCATTGCCACTTTGAATTGAGACTTCCTAGAAGCCAAGCAGAGCTTGCATAGGTCTCATGATAATAGTGACACCATGTTCTAGAAAGATAAACTGTGTTTGGAAGTGACATGGGAAACTGATTGTGACTTAGGAAAAACTGATTTATGGATAGAGAAAGAACTAATCAAATAGGCTGTGCCATGCTGAAAATGATGCTTTTGGAGACATGAGCATCTATCTCATGTTTGACCAGCCATTTCCTGTAGTTTCTACATGGAACATTGAGAACTGCATGGAAGCCAAGAAACTGATTCACAACAAAACCCTATCTGCTGTAGCTACTCACACGAAGATCAGTAGCAGAAAACATATTGGTGCCTGAGAAACTTGTAGTAGGGTAACTTTATTAGTGAGAACATTTGAAAGCTTGTGAGAAACAAACCAAAAAAGCCATTTATTAAGTTACTGAGTTACTTCCATCATCAGGTTGATGTCTTAGTTAAATAAAAGCAGTCTTCTATTAAAAACAATCTATAGAGTATTACTTATCTTCCTAGGTGGTCTCTGCCTCAGTGGTACCCAATGGTTTTCTTTTTGTTTCATTTAATTACACAGTAGTTAATTAAGAGAAACCCTCACTGCAAAACAGAAGTAGTGCCACTTCCTCCACTTATTTTTCTAGGTGAGAGAAAAAGCCCACAATGCACTTTGCCTTTTGGAGCCGTTTGTCAAGTGGATGGAGAAACCCTGGCAGTCTGAAATCATCCAGTGCCTTAGAGACTTTGTGTGGATTCTTTATACCAGGCCAAACCCAGCTTATTTCACCAGGGACTTATGGTCTGAGGATGGCACACCCCCTTCTTTGTACTTCCATAGATTAAGTATCATCTAAGAGGAAAGACCCCAACTGCAGTTCCATGAGATATAAAGCAAATAAGCAGTTAAGTCAAATATTTAGCCATTCCTTTCCCCTGCCACTTTAATACTTTCTAGGAGACTTGGTTGATGGGACATGTCAGATTATGGTATAGATATGAATACTTTGTTTTGGAATGGATTATCATTTATTGATACAAATTGACGGTCAATTTTAGAATATGTATATTTCTCCTCTTGTTTAGATATTGTGTTTATATGACTCATTTAAAAATGTAATGTATAATTTAGTACAGATTGTACATAGTTACCTATGATAGTCAAAACATATAATGTTAGTTAGGTTTTATATATATATATATATAATATATAATATTATATATATTAAATATATATATATATTTAAGATAAATAGGCATTCTTCAAACCTTACAAAGACCTACAAAATATGGCATTTAAAATGGTTTAGGGTTTTTCTTGACAATGAGGCACAATTGCTTCTGACAACACCACCTGCGTCAGAAAGGAAGATGGACATAAAAGAAACTTGTTATGGAGTTTGCTTTCAATATGGCAAGACTAGCCTTTTGGACAAGATACTGCTCTTGTCTGAACTGTTTGACTTTATTCTGTATAAACTGGACATACAGGGCCCACAGGAAAATGACTGCTAAAACAAGATAGACCATGCTACAGGGTTCCTGCTTCATGGAAGAGTCTGCCAGACATTCTACAAGACACACTGACAAACTGCCAATACAGATGGACAGTTTAAAGTTTCCTGTTTTGCTGAGGAGTCTGCCAGACACACTATGGCCTATAGGCTGAAGATAAAATATTACAAAAGAACTTCGGGTAACTGACCAGACAGTGAGTTGTCTCTGTCATTTCTAGAGTTTATATATTATCCTTCTGTGGTCTTTGATGGAGTTGAAGACAGATAGTTAAGATTATAGTTTTCCTTAGTATTAAAGATAAGTTACATATAGGACTTTAGACTCACAAAGATAAAATAGATGATAAAATATTTTCTTTAAATCTTGCTAAATGTTAATGAACTAAATATTGTTAACCATGGTTCTTATTTGATAACTGTTTTGTTACATATTTTGCTATGTTAAGGTTAAACCCCTTTTCATTTAGACAGAAAAGAGGAGATGATGGGAGATATCATTCTGTAAATATGTTTCTCTTATTGGTTAAAAAATAAAGCACTGTTGGCCAATAGAAAAACAAGATAGGTGGGACTAGGAGCAAGGAGGATTTCAGCAGTAGTAGAGGAGGAGATTCAACATGGAGGACAGAGAGAGCAGAAAGCTGGGCCCTCTCTCAGGTAAGCCAAGACCATGTGGAAACTTAGATTAATAGAAATGGGTTAATATTTAAGACAGAACTAGCCAATAAGAAATGCTAATAACAGGCCAACAACTTTATATCTAATACAGCATCTCTGTGTGTTATTTGGGGCTGGTGTGGCTGTGGGAACAGGCTGGCAGAAAAACATACTCTTAACACTTGGTTTCATATGGATACTGCTAGGAATGATCACTGTCATTTATGTCAACTGGATATACTCATTTTATGTTAGTGTGTAAGACAGTTTAACACACTCAAATATCAAGTCACATTAGTTAAGAAGTTAGCATTGTTTCTGCTATTGTCTTCATAATACAAAGATTAATTCTTCTGTCTCCTGTTTGTGGAAATGGTCCTTAACCAACCAACCAACAGCATCTTACATTGCAAATGCAACTGTCTCCATGGTGGGAAGTAAGAGTGTGGGGGGGGGGAATGATATGTCACATTGTTATTTTATCTATTCTTACTTCCCCCTGATTGCTGTACCTACCAAAGTGGTGGAGGGAGGCCTTTTCTTTTTGTCTAAATCATTCTGCTAATGACATATTGATTTTCTCTCAAGATCATCCTGTGATCCTGTGTGATCATGTTTTCCCACACTACTCATATTTGACAGAGTACCTCCGTTCATGGCTGACATACATGAGTTGAGCTATGATGGCACTACCCACCATGAGTTTTTCCTGGTGTTAGGTGACAGGGCTTCAGTGCAGATGAAGAGGACAGGCTGTTTTACAATATTTTGGTCTTTGAAAAGTAATTATTGTTCATCCTAAAAGATGTCATAAGCCCTGCATGTGTTGCTTAATGTATACTCTCTCTTTTACTCTAACAGTGGCTACCTTGAGTTTCGTGTCTTTGCTGGTACAGAAGAAAAAAAAATCCTCACCAAGGCACCAAAATATACCTATGTAGGAGACACTGATTGGTGACTTGCCACATGCATTGCTGTTGTACACGCTGACTTGCTTTGTAAACTCTGATTTCCTTCTGTTTCAGCTAGCTGTGAGGTGGCTGGAGCACAACTGTCATTACCAGCATTTAGATGAGCTCCTGCAGTACATCCGCTTTGGACTCATGGATGTGGATACTCTCCACACAGTTGCCCTATCCCACCCCCTGGTCCAGGCAAGTGAGGCTGCAACTGCCCTTGTCAATGAGGCCCTGGAATACCATCAAAGCATCTATGCACAGCCTGTGTGGCAGACCCGCAGGACCAAACCGCGGTTCCAGTCAGACACTCTCTATATCATTGGTGGGAAGAAGCGTGAGGTCTGCAAAGTCAAGGAACTTAGGTACTTCAACCCCGTGGATCAGGAGAATGCTCTCATAGCTGCCATCGCCAACTGGAGTGAGCTGGCTCCCATGCCGGTGGGAAGGAGCCATCACTGCGTGGCAGTCATGGGGGACTTCCTGTTTGTAGCAGGAGGGGAAGTGGAGCATGCCAGTGGCCGGACGTGTGCAGTGAGGACTGCCTGTCGCTATGACCCTCGCAGTAATTCCTGGGCAGAGATAGCACCCATGAAAAACTGCCGGGAGCATTTTGTGCTGGGCGCCATGGATGAATACCTCTATGCAGTAGGGGGCAGAAATGAACTGCGCCAGGTTCTGCCCACGGTTGAACGATACTGCCCCAAGAAGAACAAATGGACTTTTGTGCAGTCCTTTGACCGATCCCTTTCATGTCACGCTGGATACGTGGCTGATGGTCTTCTTTGGATATCAGGTAGAGCGTGCCTCCTATGTTGCATTTACTGAAAAGCACTTTTGCTGTGGCTTAAATTTAAAAGTCATCTCCCGGAGAGTGGCCCTAAGTAGTCAAACAATTGAGATAAGAATGCATTTTAGTTAATTAACCATCGTTTATCGAGCACCTACTCTATAGAGAACAATGTAATAACGAATAATTGACCTTTCTGTGATTTTTTTTTTTTTTTCTGAGTGACGACTATTGTAAAATTTCAGGATGAAGGTGGATGGGACTGTCACATGTCACACCTGTTTCGTTTTGTTTTTTTAACTAAGTCTGCCGTTGTTTATGTTGTCAGCTCTCGGTTATCTATGGGGTGAATTGCACAGCTAGTGTTTTAACTAAGACCCTTGCTTTTCCTTACACTTTTAGCTGCCCAGCTGGGAGCCATTTTGTTGGAAGCAGGAGAAATAAAATCCTAGTAAATCCATTTTACTGAATATAACAAAAGAGACTCTCATTCAGGGATTAGCTATGCTGGTGTACTGAAGAAAGGGATTAAGTTAATGAAAAAAGCTTTTGTGTTATCTGTGAGTGTTAGTTGGTGGTGTCATGGATTCCTGTTTACTCTCCCATTCTTACTAACCACTGAAGGAAGTTCAAGGTCTGTTTAACTTCACTCTTTTCACTTATGCTTATGGACAAAGTAGAGAAACTAGTATAGTGAACAGGGTATACCTGATTCAGCCACCAGTCACTCATGGCTAATCTTTACTTACCCTGGCAGCCATGTTATTTGCACAGAAGTCTGTGCAGCCTATGTTGTCAGTCTCAAAGTATCAACCTATGTTTTCTGTTCTCACAGGGAGAAGTTGCCTGTCTCTCAGTTGGAGGCTACCCATTTTGTAACCCAAATAGAAGTTGAGTGACAATGATAGAAAGACCCTTAGGTGAAATATTGAAGGGCAATCCTGATGTTCAAACTTAGAAGAGCTGGCCACATTAGGAAGTGATGGCTTCTTGGATTCCCCTGTTGCCATTTCCAGTTTTTAAACATCGATTTTGACAAAATTAGCCATAGGTTAAATCAGTTTTGGCTCAGTTCAGTTTTCCTTCTATCATCTTTGATAACCCAGGGAATAGGCAGAGCCTCAGCTTCTCTGGATGAGGCTTCAGTTATTTTCACTGATGTCACCTGTCTTATATTGGAGTTTAGGTAATTGATGAACTAATAGTGCATGGGACATGGACTGAGAATGTGCAAAGGGAATAAATGAGTACCCAGTATTTATTGCTCTTATATACAAAATAAAAGCATTAGAAGTTAGCATATATGTAGATACATTTAAATATTATTCTTATTAGTGATTTCTTTCCTTTGCATTAAATATATATTTCAACTACGGAAAGAGTCACCAGGACTATGGTTGATTGCTGAAGAAACTTCAAAATGGCTGCACTGACTTTTTGTAAATAACAGGACTTCCCTGGACACAAAATGATGATGGGTTTATGAAATCAATGCAGTTTGTATTTTCTCCCAATTTACATCTATGCCATTGATTAATTGGTTTCACATGTTTTTAATGCAGTATATTCTTAAATTTTGCAATGTGCCTTCTAAATTTTGTATGAATTTCACATAAATATTTTAATAAGTATGTCATACTTGGCACTGCAAAACTAGCTTTTAAAATATCCTTGACTTTCCCTCACATAGTTATAAAGCCGTGACTACTCTGCCCTTTTCAGTGATGCTAAGGGAGTAGAAGCTCAAAAACCTAGCCAGACCTACCATCCTGCGATCAAGTGAGCTTCCCTGTCAATGAAGGTCTATGTTTTTCCCTTCCCATTTTATTAAACCCATCACCTTACTGTATGTCTTATTGCCATCTCACTTTGCTTAACTTCTACTGTGGAAGGAAATACCGTTTCTTTGTTCCATGTACTGATGAATGCTGCCTGTGTTAAGTATATTTAATGAAAACAATCAGAATTTTCTCAGGCCTGTTTCTCCCTACTGTGCACTTGAGATGAGACGCTCACTTTCCTGTGTGGAGTATGGTACCTTTAATTAGGAAGAACAGGAAATCACCAGTGACATTCCTAATACCGCCAGTCGTCTGCCTCTCTCCTCAGGCCTAGCTTATAATAAATCAATTGTGAGTTTATCCATGAATGGGGAGGGCTGTGTGGATTTGTTCATGGCCCCCTTTTAAAAAAAAGACAGGAATATTTCTTCTTCCTGACACTGATTTGGAAATGTTAGTTTGGTTTCTAGGATCAGATGAAAATGTGTGAGGCTATTACTTAATGTTGACCAAATAAGCAAGTTTTTTTCAAATGATAAGAGGACTGTGTGTCTAGCATCCTCCTGGGACTTTGCCAGTTTTGTCTAAGGTAGGGGTGGTATGGATTATAGAGTGTGGGTCTTAAAGGCTTAGTTCTGTTCCATAGAACACAGAATGAATGCGTCTTCAGAGACTTGCTATTTGCAGCATGCTCCCTCTCTGTTCCCTTCCCGTTCTGGGGTCAAGGCATTTTGAAAACTGACTATGGCTTGTCAACATGACAACCAGAGAATTCAGAAAGCTAGGTTGGATGGATATGCCCATTAGCATTTAAGATTTTAGAGACAGTCAGATGTTAAAGGCTTCTCTAGCATTTGCCCCTCTGACCCAGTTCACAAATGTTCTATCCCATTTCAATTTGAAATCCACATTTATGAAGTAAAATAAGTGTTAAATATCTTGTGGCTTTCTGTTGTGAACTATTAAGAAGATTCCTTTGTGTATATGAAGGAAACTGGAACTGGGCCCATCTTGCAGAAATTCTGTTTTTTTATCAAATGGCAGCAAGATAGTGAGATGCTAGTCATGAAATTAGTGCTTTAAACCTAGAAAACAAGACAAGTGACACTAGTTACACAGTATCCTAAATACTGTGAGGCTGTGCCACAAATAAATATGATTATTTCAGTAAATGTACCTCCTGCCCTCTAGAAGCTGACAAATTTTTTGTCTTTGTTTTTTGTTTGTTTTTAAGTAAGTCATCAATGAAAGAAGCTTTGTTGACACTTCTTTAAGTTCCTAACAACTGTGCTTATTTTCATCTTAGTTGGCTTTATATGAAGCTTGTGTTGTCCCATTTTAAAATCACTTTAATTTATTCAAGTCTACTGAAAGAACTTTGGATTTTCTATTAAATTAGAGCAAGGCAATTTTTAAGTAATGTTAAAATAACATAGCTTTGGTGTTTCTCTATCTGCAACAGATCTCATTTTGTTTGCATTAAAAGTATTGTCAATGAAGAATAGGCATGGCTGTGGTTGGGGTGTGAAACACTAAGATAATGGAACAGAGTTACTCACAGGTGTGAACCTGGCCTCGCCCATCAATCATGAGATGCCCTAGCTTCTCTATGTCCTGTGTTGGTCTCACATTGCAATGTGTGATGAAGTGGTGCTAGGTGTCTTTCCAGGAGACAGAAGTAATTTGGACAACAGAAACTAATTTCAAGGGGGCATCAAAGTAGCATCATGGGCTCACCTGGCCCCAGCTCCTGCTACTTTCTGTCATTCACCTCCCCGCAACTTTCCATCATCATATAATCACTTCAGCAATCAATCCCCTTGTCTTTTAGGAAGGGGACACAGTACTGAACACACCTAGCTTTCTACTTTGCTTGTGTAGTTGTCCTTCAGTAACCACAGGGGATTGGCTCAACAACACACATACACATGCACACAGTTCTACACACACACACACACAGTTACACACACTGCTGAGAGAAAAGTCTTCAGACAGGAGGGGTAGAGGAGAGTTCAGGGAAGAAAGAGAAGGGAGAAATTATGTAATCGTATTATAATCTCAAAAATAAAAGAAAAAATGGGGAATGGAAATCCCTCATATGCTCAAGTTCCTTATTTAAGATGGTATAATATTTGCATAAAACCTGTGCTAAGCAAATAGTTGGTATAGTGTATTATTTAGACGACATTGACATGGAAATCTGTATATGTTTGATACAAGCACAGCTTTTTTATGTCAAATGTTTTGAAGCCACATTGAATCTGTAGATGTAAAAAGCATGGAGATGGAGGGCTGACAGTTCCGGTCAGTTAAGATTATAGAACAGTTATCAGAAAACTTGCTGGGGCATCTTCTGTTCTCCAAGCACATGACACTTCTCAGCTTTCTGTTCCCTAGTAGCCCTCTTTCCTACTCTCCTTCACTGGCTTGAACTTGCCTGAATTCCTTAAGACCCCTCCCTCTGACTTAGTCAGAGGACCTTGTCTTCTGTTTCTCAAAGCAAATGCAAGATCATGAATATCATGAGGAGACAGATGGATGGGTGGGCCCTCTAAAATGTAAGGGACCCAGGGTCAGCAAGGAAGAGTATCTTGAAGCAACCAGGGCCCAGACAGAAGCCCACAATGAGTGACACTTGTCCAGTACCACAGTCCAAAATATTTGCCCTACATTTTTCTATTGCAAACATGTCAGTGTAAGGTATTTCAGATGAAGGGAAGATGGAGATGAGAGGCAGACAGAGTACTATAGTGAAGGTGTAATGGGGCAGTAAGAATGAAGAAACTACAGATACAAGCTACACTGGCTACTTCATTGTGACTCCCACAGACACTGTATCACAGAAATTTCATCTCTGAGTCAGAGCTCCAGTTATTGTCTAGATTACCCTATATGCCTACCTATGGAAGAGATTGTATGGTTCTGGGGGCATGCATAATTCAATCCGTGTGACAGCAACATTTTTTTCCCTTTCATTATAAATGGTTTTGACTTTAAGAAGGGAAAGGGAGATTAGAAAGATAAAAAGGAAAGCAAAACTAAATTTGTTTTTAGAAAAAAAGACTGTAGTTAAAAAAGAAAATCCAGATCAGTGGAAAGACTTTTCTTTTTAAAAAGGATGTTAAGTGCATTAAGTAAACTTGTTAGTAAGGAGAGATGTAGAAAGGAGAGCTCTCCATTTGGTTGGGAAAACCTGACAGCAGTTCCCCAGTACCAATTCCCCAA